ATCTATCTATCTATCTATCTATCTATCTATCTATCTATCTATCTATCATCTTTATTTTGGGGAGACTTGTCAGTTTCTGGAATAGTGACCAGGCTCCTCCTCCCGGGCTCTTCTATTCTGGCCCCCACCTCTGGCCACGCCCCACACCGTAGCCCCGCCCCCACACCTATGTTGGTCAATGGTTGCTGGCAAAACACGGAGTTGGATTATGCAGATTAACGCTACTAAAGTGGGTCCGGCTGTCAGACCCGGCATATTCCACTCTGTCAAGAAGACAGGAAGCTATTTACTCGTGATAGCAGTCCACCTCCTTCTCGGTGAGGGACAAATCCAGAGGCAAAGTATTGCCTTTGACCCCAAGCCCTGAGCTCGGACCCGCATAAGAGGCTGCAGGCAACTGAGCATGCTCGGAACAGTGCCAGACAGCTGCACGTGGTTGCCTCTGGCATCTGGCTGCCCAAGGTTGAGGAGCATCAAGACATCAGGGTTTAGGAGACGGTAGGGAGCTGAGCTTACAGCAAGCAAAACATGGGTATGTGGACGAACGCTGGTACTGAGGGTCTTATGTGCCAATGGATGCATGGGCTCTGGTTTCTAAGCATACCAAAACCCAGTCTTTCCCTAAAAGCCTGAAAAATTGAAATCATACTTGAACATTAGTTTCTATAGCATCTTAGCTCAAAGTCCTGCCTCTTTCAAAAAAACAAAACAAAACAAAACAAAACAAAAAAACCCGAATCTTTTCAAGTTATTCAGTAAACATTCTGTACAATTGTAGCTGAGAACCACACGGAATCTGTCTCCCTTTGTTCAAGTCAGTCAAGTGTATTCTTGTAAAGTATTTTGGTATTCACTTTGGCCCTATTTCTTTACGTCCTCACTTCTTTTTTTTTTAAATGTCTCAGAGCATGTAGAATACTCGTTCTATCTTAGAAATACTCGCTGCAGCGTGCTTGTGTGTAAGAAGGGGGTTTGTTTAAACCTCAGTGACAGAAGACTGGAGTGGAGAAGGCTACAGGAAAAAAAAAAGAGTACAGATGAAGAAACTCAGCGAGAAGGAGGGAGACGGGGTATAAAGGGACAGCGGGGAAGAGAGGAGGAAGAGGTGAAGGGAGACGGAAGGACTGAGGCTCACTGAGTTAGAAAAGTTGAGTGACCAGTGAGGTTTGTTGAGATTCCAGGAAACAGCCCAAGTGGGAGTGGCCCTCGACGTCAGCCCCTTGATGGGAACCAGCTTCAGTGTGGTTGGGGGATCGCCATGTCTAGTGGAACTTTTCCTTCTTGGAAATATGATTATGTGCTTCCCCTTTGTATCTAGGGCTATTTTAATTCACCCCTTGGGTTTCTAGAATATTGCTTAGGTCTAGAACACTGCACTGGGTCTTGCTCGGACCTCCACAAACATGAGTATCACAAATAGTGAAGCCTGGGGAAGCGTGGGCAAGATGTCTTTTCAACAGCTATATTGGAACTTATGTTTGAAGCTATCTCCACCCCAGTCTACCTTGTGTGGCATGTCTTTGTCCCAACCTATGATCCTCTATTATTCTCTGACCTTTCTCTTCTCTCCTGCTGCCTTGTGATCTCTTCTGAAGATGGCCACGCCCAACTGCTAGGATCTTTTCAGGTGGATCAAACACCTGTTTTGTCAGTACCTAGTGTTTGTCCATATATGTCAATATTTTATATCACCTTTTATCCTAACTGTATTTTTTTCTCTATATATCCCTAAATTCAGACATTATACATGATCTAACAAAACAGCCCAAGTGGTATGTCTCAGGAAACTCAAACCCAACATGTCCGAAGCAGAGTTCATGAGTTGTGCTGCTCTTTTGTCAGTATTTCTTAGCATGGTTTCTGGTACCTCTACTCAGCCAGAGATCACAAATCTGGACATTTCTAGATTTACTCACTTGGCTTCCTTCCGGCATCCTGCTGATCATGGGCACTCTCCACCGGCCTGTAGGTGACTCTGCATAGCTCCTGTCCCTTGTCTTACCTACTCTGCTCTCTTCAGCCCTCCTCATCATCAGTAGACATTCTTAACCACAGTCCCCTCCGGACCCTTCAACATACCCTCCTCTGTGCTTTCTTGGGTTTTTATTTCTCAGCAAATTGTATTACAGTACATGCGTGCTTCACCCCTGAGGTGAGTTTCCAGCCAGCGTTCCCTAGCATGAAGTATCCTAGCCAATCCAAATGACCTGTTGTGCAAACCGACACCACCACATGCCTGTCACTTTTTTTTTTTTTTTTGTCACTTTAATTCACCTGCCAAATCTTAAGCATTCAAGAGTGAGTTCAGACTGGGTACACCTCGGCCTTCCTGCAGTGACTTCCGCTTGGATTCTCCATCTGTGCCTTGCCTCTTTGTCTCCATTTTGACATCTGACCTTGAACTGTTTTTTCTTTAGTTGACTTCAGTGGGCTGTGGGGAAGTTGATAGCCAGGGCTGCATCTCAACCATCTATGTTCCCAGTATCAACCGAAGTTTACCTGATGGATAAACAATAGGCATATGATATGTACTGATATAATGCTGAAAGATTGTTCCTTTAAAATAAAATGCTTCCCGCAGCGTTTACATATATTGCAAGTAACATGATGTCAGAACAAAGTCCCACCCAGTGCAGACAGAGGAACCTAAGTGAGCTCCACGGTTTGGCCTCCTTACACTTGGGGATTTTCTTCACCTTCAGAAGTCAGGAATGCTTTGTGAGCCATCTGGTGCCCTCCCTTCTCTGGCACGAAGTAGCACAGCATTGCTAATTAACCCACAAATTCCATTGTTTTTCATTACCCTGATTTCTTCTGGCAGTGTAGGTACAACCCTCTAATGGGCTGAAGGTCATTATTCTACCATTCTATTCTAGAGTTGACTTTTTTTTCCCTCTGTTTAAAGCATGGTGCCCCAGAAAGGCAAACTGAGCATTTGGGAATGAATATGATTATAATACTTCTCTCAACTTTCAGTGTCCACTGATAGATACCTAAAACTACACCCCTGGTGTGGGGGCAGTCACCTACTTCTGAATCACCTGGGGGTGATAACCATGCTGGTGGTTAGCTTTTGTCAATTTGATACAGACTTGAGTCTCCTGGGAAGAAGGAGTTGCCTACACCTTCAGATGAAGAGCTGCTTCCATTAGATTAGCATATGTGGGGCATTTTCTTGATTAGTGATTGATGTTGGAGGGCCCAGCCTACTGTAGGTTGTGCTACCCCTCTGAAGGTTCTCCTGTTTTGTATAAGAAAGCAAGATAATCAAACCATGGAAAGCAAGCCAGGAAACAATGTTCCTCTGTGGTCTCCGCTGCAATAAGTGTCTTCATATCTCTACATTGAGGTCCTCTTGCTTTGGCCTCCCTCAGTGATGTACAGTAGCCTAGAAGCCAAACCAATTTTTCTTTCCCCTCAAAGGCACCCAAATACTGCATGGTGCTCCCATCTGGACCCCACACTGTGGCACAGACCACACTCAAATACCAGTTTCCAAGCACAGACCAAATTCAAAGAGATCCTTTATTGAACAAGGCAAAGAGACAAAGTCACTGAATCTGAATTGGACAAAACCAGAAGCAGATAGCTTTGTAGGTGTTTGATTTTAAAAGGGAAAAGGGAGAGGTGTGTGTTAGAATGAGCTAGGATGTGTTGGTAAATTCTGATTGGGTATTTTAATTAGGGTAGTCAAAATAATGGATTTTGATTGCTAGACCTTGATGCCTTGATAGGTGAACCTTGGTGACCAGCCTCCAGAATGAGTCAGCAGCCAAATAAGGGAATAGACCTTGGGGACGACCTTTAGGAATGTGGTCTAACAGTTTAGCAAGGGAAAGAAGGGTAAAGGGCGAAACCTGTGGGTGCCATGTTTGTCATGCTCAGGCCTGCTTAGAGCCCCTGCCCCTTAGTTAACTTTACAACAGTGACTCTCCTGGAAAGAACATTCAAAGCCTTTAACAAATCCTGTAGGAGATTCTGTACACTATATTTGAGAAACAGTTCTCACTCATGTGGATAAAGGTGGTGGTGGGGAACAGACCTATGGTTCTTCTTGCCTTGAAGTA